GGGTTGTGCCCCGCGCCGCCGCGAGCCCCGCACAGGCCTCGAGGCCGGAAGACAAGCGCTCCGGCTGGGCTGCGGAGGGCAGAGCAGAGCCCCTCGCTTAGATGGGTGCAGGGAAACCCAGCCTCGCCGAGGGGGAGAAGCCAGAGTCCAACATTCCACCCAAGAGCGAGCTTGGGGGAATAAAGAGGAGAGAAGTGGGTATGTGTGGGACGCCCCAGACTTTGTGTAGGAGTCCAGGGTTAGTAGCCTAACCATTTCAGCGAATTTCACAAGACCGAACCCCAGCCTACAGTAACTGGATGAAGTTTAGTTTCCCTCACAACTAGAATGGAATTGGCACGGGAGACAAACTAGTTCTGGCCTAGGTATTGACTCACATCACTTATAAACCATACCTTTGGATATAAGCGTGGCAGTTCCCCCCTCCTTTGTGACTTTTGTACCAAATACCATTCACCTGTATAAACCATCGGTCTTCATACATACAGTTCAGTGGGGTATGAAGAACAGCTTGCAAGTATCCAAATGATTTCTTTCTTTCTTTCTTTCTTTCTTTCTTTCTTTCTTTCTTTCCTGTGTTCGCCAAGTCCGAAACAAACATCAAAATCTATGCAAGGAAAACTTTCATTATTTAGCAAATTCAGTAGGCTGTAGTAAAAACGACCCGGGAACCATGGACACAAAAAGAATAACGAAGGAAGTGGAGATGAAGCCTGAGTCAGGCTCCAGGTTCCATCCCCGGCACTCGTGAAAAAAAGACCAGGAATTATTAGGATAGTTGCAAAGAATTTATGTCTGTCCTCCTAGTAGCCAAACCCGAAGGGGAAATGTGCAGAGTTCTAATGTCCAGGGTTCTGCATAGTCCTGGCTCGATTAACGGAGGCTGTTTTTCATGGTCACCAGAGGAAATTACCATTTGGGTCTTTATGTGAAGGGAGTTCCTTCACGGAAACATGTGTGTTTACGTGAAGATAATCTACGTGTAGGTGCTTTACTTCTCTCCAGAGCATCCATTCTCAACCTGCCCATTGCCACGCCCCTTTAATACAGTTCTTCATGTTGTGGTGACCACCCCACACACACACAATAAAATTATTTTTGTTGCTACTTCATAACTATAATTTTGATACGGTTATGATCGTAGTGAAGATATTTTTGCAGATAGAGGTTTGTAGGGGGGTCGCAATCCTGCGATTGAGAACCACTGCTCTAGAGACCCATAATGTAGTTGGAAGTAATTCTGTAGTATTGAGTAGGACCCAATAAAAGTTAGTGGTGTAAGTTGACTCAGTGGGAGGCTCAGAAGCTGTTGAATGTACAGGGGAGCATCCCCCTTCGGTAGCAGGTTTCTAAAGCCTCTTCCCAGCCCTATGTGACAGAGACCTTACAGAAGCCTCACAGAGGTGTACCAGATACCCAGTGAAGCCCAGCAACCAATGCTACATAGAAGCTGTCACAATGCATTATTTACAGGAGTTTTGTTTTCCTGCTTTCTGGATTTGTTTTCTCCAGACAGGGCATAATTCATTCAGTAAAAGGTCATTCTTTCCAAGTACTAATCTTCCAGACTGTGGTCGCCTGGCAGAGGAGAGGGACCTAGTTCAACAACAGAGTAGTCAGTGGGGGCAATCAAATTGTCACTGCTGTCCCCCTCTGCTATCACTCAGATCTCCGGATGGGAGCCTTTCAGACATAAAGTTAATCAGAAGTATAAAGAATGGAAGAGAAAATATTTGCAAAAGGTTGGGTCTGAGTAGAGGAGTCCTTATTACATTGGAAATTAACATCAAGTATTCAGACACGGAATGACGGGTACAGAGTATGAGTCCCTGTAAAAAAGACCAAGGGATTGCAGAAAGAGTGAAGTGGTAGAGCATTGCTTAGCAGGTATAACATGTGCACAGCTCCAGCCTAATTCCCAGGGCAGACACAAGTTCACAAAGGGATTAAGAAGAATTTTTCGGTGACTAGAATAGGAATTTTAGAACCACATCTACTCCTTTTTGCCAAGAAAGACTCCTTCCCCAAAATACCCTATGTACCAATGAAAGACTATTGCTGGTATTGTTTCTTACTTTGCACTCAGACCACTTGTTCTCAACTGGATTTGATTTCCTCCCACCCACTCCCCAGTGGCATTTGACAGTATCAGGAAACTTTGAGGATGAGGGAGTTGGTAACATCTGCAGAGTAGAAGCAGAGGTGTTGCCAAATGCCCTGCAGTGAGCAAGCATCGATATAGCTAGTCCAGAACATGAACGATGTGAGGCTGGAGGCGAGCCTGAGAACCACAGGTGTCCCTTATTTCTGGTTAACAGTCCTGAGTTCCCTGTGCATCAGAGTAACTGAGTTGAGAGGTGCAGTGGGTCAGACCAGAACTCTGGATGAGACAGCTGTGAAAGAGACAAAACTGCAAGGTGGCTTGACTACCTCATGTGTGATAGAGGCAGCTTCAAGTGGATCCACTTTTTATTATCTTAGAATATTCAGTGCAATTGCTTTCAATTGTTCAAGATGTATCAGTGTATTTACTTCTAATAACTTTTGAAACAGCATTATCTATACTCTTGATTATTTTGAGCCCCAAACAGGGCTGGGTGGGTGGGTGGGTGTGTGTGTGTGTGTGTGTGTGTGTGTGTGTGTCCTTTATTTTCAGAATTTAGGCTAAAATACTCCAGAACTGAGATCTTACAAAGTTATTTCCACCACCTTACTTGGAGGATTTGAGAACTAGTTAAAATCCCATTTTAACTATTGCCACACCCTAAATTCACTGATTGTACAGAAAAGAAAAGAAAAAAAAAAAAACTGACTGCCTTTGAAAATCAGTTTGAGCCAGCACAGCTCTACCACCAAAATACATTTCCAGAGCTCCTTTTAGCCAAGTAAGAGCTCTTAAATTTTTTTTTCCATTAAAAGATGTGATTGTGTAAGTTACCTTTTCGGTGGAGAAGGTGACACAGAACAGTAAATGAATTATCCTGGTGTGATCTGGCAGAAACCTCACTCTAGGCTCACATTGTAATTACTGAGTCATAAGTCCTTCCCATGAGCAACTCTAAACAAGACTCCAATTTGAGAATTGTTTTTGTGATTTATAGCTAATTCTGATTTTAGATTACTCTAAGGGACTAAATTTTTTTTTTTTTTGGTTTTGAAGTAAAGAGAATTTTTTTGTTGCAAGCAAAAGGGAGATCAGTTGAAAGCAATTAGTTTATGTGTGCTGAAAATCTGAAAGGTCTGATTGCATTCCAAAGAGAACAGACCAATACTGCAGAGTAGGAAACTGCTTTGGTCTTATAGCCAAGGAGCCCGACAGTGTGTGCACATAGGTTTCTACACCGGTCTCAACTTCAGTTCCCTTCAGTGTAACTCAAAGTACCAAATACTGGACTTTCACAGTTTCCTTCTAAAGCTGATGTATATTGCCTAAACACTTGCCAGCTGTGTCAGTTCAGCTCTAAAGGGTGCCTGAGAATGTGCATTTCTAAGGGGCTCCCAGGTGACGATGCTGCTTCTCATCTGGAGTCACTCTCCAAACCCCCTGCACTAAGTCTCTGAGAAAACAGCTGTAATCAAGTAGATTACTTGAAAAGATCATGCTTTTGATTCTGTGCCTTTAAAACCATTATTCTAATGTTACATCTTTTCCTTGAGAGCTTATTTGGAGGTTCTAGCAGGGGAACGCAGATACTCCTTGACCAAAGACCAGTCCTCTATTGGGAAAGGTCGTCCTCTTTGACCAAGCGCGCAGCAGCTTCAGGAGGGCCACACATGGAGCGGTGAGGGAGGAAGGGTCACCCGCCTAGCCAGCCAGATCAGCCGAATCAACCCTGGTGATCAATGGGGTGACAGATGTCACAGCCAGATCACCCTCACATCCATTACATCTTGTTCTTAAAGTGTATGTCTTGCATCTGAATTATAAAGTACTTAGGGTTAAATGATTTGGGTAATAAATACTATAAAATACTGGAGCCTTAAGTAGGATAATTGAATGCTGAAATTAATTGATGTGAATACCAAAAGCACACATTAAATTCTGAGTTACAATAGTCTGATTACAGGTGAGAAAAGAACTGCAGTGTGCTGTGTTGGTGAACAGGATCCCTCCTGTCTTGGAGACGTGGAAGGGACGCCAGAGAACTCAAAATCGCCCTATAACTTGACCACCTCCCCCAGATTTTCTCTGGCAGTTCTTGAGTCCAAACTTGGTAATATTTCTGGGTAATGTTGTTTCAAGTCTTTGGCCAAAGTGACTCTGCAGTATTTCATGCCAACAAGACTCTAGCATAATCCTTGTCTGTCTAGCTGTCAGAGCACAGTTACTGACAGATCATCTGTTCTCCTAGTGACAGGATATGGCAGTGAACACACAGTATAGTGAAGGGTAATGAGGTGCAGATAACAGTTAATCTGACAGCTTGCTGGGCGTTCAGTTAGGTGGGTAGCGGAGAAAGCTGCACACTTACCATCTATCTCTTTCTGATGAAGTCTGAAACACACTCTCTGCTCCAGCCAGGAGGGCCACTCAGCAGGCCCTGGTCACGTCAAAGTCCGTGACTTCCCCTTTCTGGTAGCCCCTCTGTTCTATATTGTCACTTTGCCTACTTGAAATTGCGTGTGGTTCCCTGGTGTTCTGTAAGAAGTTCGTGTTTTCTGCCATAGAATGAAGAGAACATACATATGGTATGTGTTTGCTTTATTTTAGGAGAAGACTGATGTGGAGGGAACCTTATTTGTTTATACAAGGTAAGAGTATTCTATTTTTAGAAAAGCAATTTTTTAAGTAATATTTTAGCTTAGTTTTGTCATGTCTTGAAGAGCAGTTTTATTTCAAAGAAGTACAACAAGCAAATTCATCTGAAATCACTAGTTGGCAAGAGGGATAAAACAGCACATCAATGTGACCTGGTACATTCTGATGGTACTGATTCAGGATATAATTCCAACTTAAATCTTAGTATTTGGTTTAGCAGTACATATTCATCATCTGATTCCAGTGAATTGCACAGTTTGTGAACACTATGCACTGCCAAGAGATTAGAGGTACACTGTTAGCTAAATTAGGCAGTGCTTGGAAAGGACTTTGTGACTCACCTTCCCAACCCTTAACTGCTTAAAAAAACATGCCCCAGGATTGAATCTGTCTCTCAGTCTTCCAGGGTCTAGTTAATAATGTTTCAGGATTAATTTAGTTAATAAGCTCATGTTTTTAATCATTTCTTTTTATCACATACTGTTAATATCTTTCACACATGCACACAGACACACAGTATGTATATTGTCTTAATGACTACATTTTATTATGAAATGCAAAACTAATATAAACCCTGATTGATGTAACAATCTTACTGGAGGAATAAGTATACCAGTATATTTACCCATACTCAAGTTTAAGATAAACACAATACAGGATACGCCATCCCAAGACCTGGTTGTTATAAAAGCTGCAGTAGGCTCTGTGGTTGTCTGGGGCATTATAGAATGACCAGTCTTGGTTTGGGCTTCAGGAAAGGACGTCTCACCAGAAAGAAAGGCAAAAGTAGAGACACAGCCTCCTGTTTAAAGGGACAGTAGGGATTCATTCTGGTGCAGAGGGTCTATATTAGCCTGAGTGATGCCATTAACATAGAATGGCAGACTAAGGATTCTGAAGTTTATTTTTCTAGCAGTAGGGAGTAACTGGAGGCTTATGAACACGAGGATGCTTAATAAGCTGTGAGAAAATGCATGGGGACTCAATGTGTTAGCATCATGAGGAGACACTTGTTCTAAAAGAAACTGGAGTTGGGCGGGATGTTAAGAGGGTGACTGCCATGAAGTAGACAGGAGATGATAGAGTTGGGACCAGAATAAATGAGGCTGAAATGAAAGTGCACCAATAGAGATCACAGTGACATTGAGACCTGAAGCCTCTAGGTAAATGGTGGTGTTTGAACTGAATGATACTGAAGCTCAAGTGGCTGGGGGAGAGGGGAATCAAGGATTTGGGGCTAAGTTTCAGTTCACTCCCCACCCGGGCCTTTGGTCTTCAGGGTTTTGAAGTAATACTTATGCAGTGGTCTCCATGGGTTCCAATTAAGGAATCCAGGCTCTTGGTCATCGCTGTCTAAGAGGAGTATCAAAGGGAAATGGGTGTGAATTGATGGTTAAATTTATGGCCAATAGGGACATAGAAAGTAGAACTAGACTAGCCTTAAGAGGCCAGTTGGGAGCCCAGGAACAATGTGGGGAGGTGTCAGCTTCCCTGTCATCCAGGGAGAGGAAATTGAAAGGAAGGAATGACTAGCCAAGCCTCAGGCTGGGCTGCAAGTAAGTCAGGAGTTTAGGGGTTGTGAATATTTGAGAATTATTAGCATGTTAGTCCATGTTATATTCCAGAACATTCCAGAAGTACTAAGTGGATTTGTTCAGCATGAGTATTTGAGAATGTAAAATATAAAGAAAAAAAATAAAGCATAGTGTGTATTCTTTCTTATTTCTAAGAAGTATTATTTTGATGAGAGAGATGTATTAATATATATTAATGATGGTTCTAAGGACTTTTCTGCTGAATTATACAATTGCTTTTTTTTTTTATACCCAAACCAAATATAGCATTGTATTTCCAGGTATTTTACCTTATTTCTGAGATAGAGTCTTATGTAGACTAAGTTGACCTCAAACTAACCATGTAGCAAAGGATAGCTTTTAACTTCTGTTCCTCCCAAGTACTGGAATGACAGCCATGGGCCAGTTTTATGCAATACTGGAGATGGAACCCAGGACTTTGTGCATGCTAGGCCACTACTCTCCAACTGAACTGCAGTCAACACTTCTTAATATACTCCACGTTGCTAATGGAATGATCAGTTACACTATTAAACTGAGAAAACTAATCCTTCCCTGTTTCTTAATCCCATTTCTCCAAACTATCTCATTGAGCTGGCATCTGCTGCTTCCGCCCCTTCCCACATAGACAAGTGTGCTTGGTCTGGTGAGGTCTTTTTCTCAGTGTTGAATGATAGCGTTTAAGTTAAAGTAATAGGGCTGTCTATGGTACACCTTTACCTCTCTTTCAGAAGTGTTTTAGTGCACCTGGAATCTTTGTTTCTGGGCCTGTTGTATAAACTGGTATAGTGCCATGCCATTTATGCCATAAGATGTTATTGCTATTGAAATGCATGAAGATATCCCATCCTGTGTCAAGAATTATTTCTTCTGCCTTCCCATGTCTTCCCATTTGTGGTAGAGTTAATGGAGACACAGTCAGTGGCATTTCTGAATGTAATGTCCAGGGCCCCCTGTCAGGCTTAGGAGTGTCTTTTCTTCTCTTGGGTTTAAGTAGAAAAGACTGTTTTGGGAATTGAGGCTATGCCTGTTAGTGTTTGCCTCTTTGTGGAATAAGCCCATCAAAGATTGCCTTCCATCAATTAGAAGGTTGGGGCTTTAAAAACAAAATCCTTTAAGTGGCAAAGTAGCAGTATTGTACTTTATCAGTATACAGTTAAGAGTAAAATGCAAGTAATTTTCTTCCTGTTTGTTATTGATAACCCCAGCAGCCTAGCTTAACTTGAATGAATGAATGAATGAATGCTGCTCACTTCTGTTAAATGTGGATGTACTTATGTGTCACTGGAAGTTATTGGTTGAATTATGATGTGGCTGTCACCTCAGCACAGGCAAATGTACACATGATTGTTAGTTTACACTGTATATAATGTGGGTCCCTGAGCCTGACGGATGGGGCATTCAAGATTTATTGAATGGAATGAAAAATGAAACTCACTAAAGGTCACTTTTGCTGAGAGAAGTTTTAGAGTAGCTTGTCCAGAAAGCGGTTTGCTTGATTTTGAGGAGACCGAAGCATCTGCCCTCCAGGCTATTGTTATAAAACCTTAGTTTTTACCTCATCTTACAGGTTCATTGACAGAGTTGCCTCATTTTCCTGAAATTCCCAGTTTCAAACTAACATTTACACTGCCAGTGAAAATTATCTTTTTTAATGATGTATACACTTTTAACTTTGAAACCTTTTCAAAGTATCTGCCAGTATGATTTTTTTAAAGATTTATTTATTCATGTATTTTATATATTTGAGTGCTCTGACTTCATGCACACCAGAAGAGAGAATTAGATCCCCTTACGGATGGTTGTGAGCCACCTTGTGGTTTCTGGGAATTGAACTCAGGACCTCTGAATAGCAGTCAGTGCTCTTAACCTCTAAGCCACCTCTTCAGCCCCTGCCAGTAAGATTTCTTTAAAGCCGCTACCATCTTTGCCTTAAAGGAATGTACAACATAGGCAGGGAGATAAGATAAACACACAAGATACGCACAGCCCCACATACAGTTTTAAAAACAGTGACCCTAAGGGCAGTCTGTGCTGCATAGATGTTAGTAGAAGGTGTCAGGAATAAAGAAATGTTGCTTCCTATGTGTACAGACTGCTTGTAGGAAAATGAAAGTACACAGTTTAGTTAATAGACAGGACAGAATGTGGCTACACTGCAGGTATGCTATGCTTAGCAATGTGTCTTTCCCCTGCTCCATAATTTCCAGGTCTGCCTCTCCAAAGCACGGATTCACCATTATGAATAGGCTCAGCATGGAAAACAGAACAGAACCCATTACTAAAGACCTGGACTTCCAGCTCCAGGACCCTTTCCTTCTCTACAGAAATGCCACATGTGAGTCTCTTAATACAGTGGTGGTCATACTTCTGCTGTTTGGCCAAATGTCGAAAGTTGCAGTGTCCTCCCTGTGTTCTGTGTTTAGTATCAACAACTAGGGTTTCAGCATTCATTATCTTGGAAGTGGCTCTTTTCCTAGAAGTTCAAGTGAGAATTTCCTTAAGCCTTGTTGTGAGTAGCTCTTCTGCCTGTGGAATGAACCAGTCATTGACTTTAATCCTAAGCAGGAATGGGGGAGGTGAGTACTTGGTCAGGAGACAGGAGAGGGACACATGGGTGGTGTCACTGAACACATAATTCATGATTTGGTTAGTGGCAGTTTTCCCTCATATATCACCTCTGACCAAGCACAGTGAAGAATGATTGAGGGAGAGGGTCTATGTTTTTGAATATGTAATCTTCATAAAGTCCAAACAATTTTGGCCTTTTTGAGTCTTTCAACCGTTTGTAATGGTGAGATTACAGTAGGTCCTTGGTATACTTGAGATGAAGTAGCAGGTGCTTGTATGGTATTCTGTCCTCATTTCAGTCTTGTGTCTCATCTGACACCTGTGTTTAACCAGAGAAAGACTAATGAAGCTGTCAGCTTCAAGGGCATCTTCACCATAGGACCATACTGCTTGAAAGGTAAGTATGTGTGTGCTCTTTGGCTTGGTGGGTAACTTTCAAAGAGACTTTACAATCTAATTAATGGTTTCTACTCTTTGAGTTTAAGATATAGGAAGTTGGTACTAGGGAAATGGTTCAATAGGTAAAGAGCTTGTGACATGAGGACCTGAGTTTCACACTCCAGTACACACACACACACACACACACACACACACACACACACAAAGCAGGGATAGGAGACTCCCTGGAGCTCACTGGCCAACCAACCTATGAGCTCCAAGCCAGTGAGACTGTCTCAAAACAAAAGGTGGACAGCACCTTAGAGAGAATGACACTAGTTCCAGGACAGTCTGGGGTACACAGAGAAACCGTGTTTGTGTCTGTGTCTGTGTCTGTGTGTGTGTGGGGGGGGGGGTTGACACTAAAAGCAGATGTCTGGCTCATGCACACAAAAAATACTGTTCTGTATCAAATTAACATATTCAAATGCTAATAAAGAAGCCATAAAAATGAATATAGAATAGATGGCTCAGCAATTAAGAGCATTGCCTGCTTTTTAGAAGTCCTAGGTTCACTTCCCAGCACCCACATGGCAGCTTACAACTGTCTATAACTGTAGTTTCAGGGGACCCAACACCCTCTTCTGGCCTTCATATGCACCAGACATGAAATGGTGTGTGTGTGTGTGTGTGTGTGTGTGTGTGTGTGTGTGTACACATAGACACACACACACATACACACACACACACACACACACACAGAGAGAGAGAGGGGGATCATTCCTGGTCACTCATATTTTGGACAAATAATTGATCTAGTGTCTCAAGATATTTTGAATTCTTATATATTGCATTATGTCATATACTATACCAAAACTATATATTTTTTTAATACATTGTCTTAAAAAATACCTTTCCTATGTCTCCCAGGGCCTATCTGACAGAAAATGCTGTGTGGAGTTAGTGAGCACACAGGAAGCCTCATTCACTGTCTCTAGGTATGTCCAAGACGGTGTGAGCAGCCACATGGGACTGTTGACCTTGAAGTGTGGCCTGTCTGAGGAAACAGGACTGTGTGTTTAAAACATGCAACATTTTTCAGAGTCTCAGCAAAAAGAGAGAGAGAGAGAGAGAGAGAGAGAGAGAGAGAGAGAGAGAGAGAGAGAGAGAGAGAGAGAGAGAGAGAGAGAGAGAGAGCAAATAAAATCGTATACTTTTATATTGGTTAACATTGAAATAACATTTTGGATAATAGGGCTAAAGAAAGTATGTTATTAAATTTACTTTTACTTTACCTGCATTGTTATTTCTAATTTAAAATATCAGGCACGGTTCATACCTTTGGGTCTTCTATTGACAAGCTTTTTTTTTTTTTTTTGGCTTTTAAGACAGGGTTTCTCTGTGTAGTTTGGGAGCCTATCCTGGCACTCGCTCTGAAGACCAGGCTGGCCTCGAACTCACAGAGATGCGCCTGCCTCTGCCTCCCAAGTGCTGGGATTAAAGGTGTGCGCCACCGACACCCAGCTATTGACAAGCATTTTACAGATGAGAAAAGCAAGGCTTGGGGAGGTGCAAGCCCAGCATGTGTGCCCACAGTCCTGACCCTGGGTGCTGTTCTGTACCCCTGCACTGCCCCCTCGGCAGTTATGCATGACTACAAATGGAAGTCATCTTTGGGATTATGTGTGCTTTTTTCTAATGAGTCCCTATATAGAAAATGCAGTCAGTTCAACAGAGACATGAAGGCAATGTCTTTTCACTCTTGTGTTCATTTTGCTCCATTTTGTTCTCCTTAACACCAGATGCCAATTGCCTTTAAAGCCCATTGTTTGGTCTTAGTTTATTTGTTAGAGTTTTTCAGTCTTGGACACGGAGGTCCACAGGAGGTTTATCACGCAGGCCGTCAGGGTCTGGGTACTCTCTCATGTTCCTTAGAGCTCAGATGTTTATATAACAGTTGCATATGGCTTTCTTATCCTCTGATAATGACCCTTTGAGCAGGCTTTGTACAAGGTTGTTTTCATGGTCACTGTCCCTTGGGGTCCATACAGGCCTCCAGAGACCCTTGGCCTTTTGCTTGCCACACAGTTCGTGAGTCCTGTCTGCCACCGAAGTAGGATAGGGCTGGAACTACTTCACAGTGAGTTTTCTCAGAGAATTTTTTAGACTCATTGGAGGAAGAAAAAAGTCAATTAGGTGAATCTTGAAGAGTGAAATAAGAAAGCAGAAAAAAATTCCAAACTCTTCATTTAATTAGTAAAGAAAAAAAACCATTTTGTAAGTAATTTTGAATTTTAATCAAACACAAAATAGGTTACTTTATTGTAGAAAAGGGTTTATAGTCTGAGCTTTATTGGAGTTTATTGAAATGGCATTTGACCTAAGTGAGCTGTCTTTTATTTACATTTATTTATTTATTTATTTATTTATTTATTCAGAGTGTGTGTGTGTGTGTGTGTGTGTGTGTGTGTGTGTAATTAGGGTTTCTGTTGCTATGAAGAGACACCATGACCATGCAACTCTTAAAGGGGAAAACTTTTAATTGGGGCTTGCTTACAGTTCAGAGGTTCAGTCCTTTATCATCATGGCAGGGAGCATGGCAGACATGGTGCCAGAGAAGTAGCTAAGAGTCCTACATCTTGCTGTCAACAGGAAGCCAACTGAGACACTGGGTGGTATCCTGAGCATAGGAAACCTCAAAGCCTGCCCTACAGTGACACACTTCCTCTAACAAGGCCATACATACAAACATACCGTACCAACAAAGCCACGCCTCCTAATAGTGCCACTCCCTTTGGAGGCCATTTTCTTTCAAACCACCACTGTGTGTGTGTGTGTGTGTGTGTGTGTGTGTGTGAGAGAGAGAGAGAGAGAGAGAGAGAGAGAGAGGGAGAGGGAGGGAGGGGAGGG